CAGTTTTTTATAATATATGTGTCTATATATATATATATATATATATATATATATATCAGAGGTTTTAGCATGATGATTTTCCCAGCTTTGTTTACTGATGTTAAAAAGGTTGTTTGTTACAAACCGGCATATCCACAAATGGATCAGCATTGATCAGCAAGTTCCCATGAAACTTTTGTTTCTGTAAGCCTGAGAATGTGTGTCATATAAGGGTCATTAGTGTGCTAAGACCTGTTTGACAAGACCTGTTTCACATCCATTAAATCTGAAACCGACAATCAGTGAAATCTGACTAGAGTCCACAAGCTGGTCATTTCAGCAACTGACTATTGTTAAAAATCGTGTTTCCATACAATCTGACGCTCTGAGCTCTTACCCTGAGGTCTGCTGTTGTATGGATGCGGTGGTTCTTATGCGATTTGGCATTTCTGCATTTCCCACAAGCTAGTTCTTGATCTTCAGTGCAGAAGAAAGTAAGAGGTTCTCCATGAAGACTACATAACTCCACAGTCTCTACGGGAGGCTCCTGAGTTGTTTCTTCTCTCATCAGATCACACATGTTTCTCAGCACAATGTTCATAGGTGGGTTAGGGTTGGAGGACACAGTTCTGCAGATAGGACACTCTTGAGTTCCTCGCCGGTTCCAGAAGGTTTTCACGCAGCCGTTACAGATGCTGTGAGAGCAGGGTAGGAGTACGGGATCCCTGAAGATGTCACAGCAGATGGGGCAGTAGAAATCCTCCTCTGTAATGGACAGTCTACAGGCCATTTTGCCACCTACGCAATTGAATGTTTTAGCTAGTTGTGTTTCTCTGACTCTCTCTCTGTGTGTGTCTGGTCCAGCTGTCAAAGAGCACAAGAGTGTCTCTCAACTCAGCTGTGTTTACATCCCAGACACCTGCGAACCAGGGTGGAGCTTATGAGAGCAAAGGCAGCATTTCAGCAGAACCATCTATTGTTCTATTAGTTGTTTGATATTTTCTAAAGTAACACCTTATTCATTTCAATAATTATTATACTTTAACTTTATTCACCAAGTAAAAAAAAGTACAATTTCACTTGGTGCTGGTGTCAAAAAATAATAATAAATCATTATTAATTTATTAGAATATTTTGTAAAATAAATATGAATTTCTTCAAGGTAATAAACCTGTACAATGTATGGTAAGTTGGATACAAAATATGTAAAAACAGTGTGGTGGTAAGAATATTTTAAGTCAGTTTCTGTCTTTACCATATACAGTATCTCTTATTTTAGTATTGTTTATATTCTATTAATTATATATATATATATGTATGTGCATTATGATTATTATTATTTATTACTTATTTATTAGTATTTTGAATTAAGTTTTTATATTTTAAGCTTTTTTATTTTTGTTTAAATTCTGTATTTTTCTTGTCATTTTAATTACTTTTTATATTTATATAAATATTATGAATAATATATATTTTATATTAATTTTCATTTTTATATTTATGTATAACTTTATTTTCAGTTTTAGTAATTTTAATAACTTTTAGTAAGTTTTAAAAATGTAATGTGAGGCTACTCCAACTTATTTATTTCAGTTAAAGTTATTTTTTTTTTTAAAAATCTAATATTTCTATTTGGCTTTATTTATTTGGCGTAATTTAGTTTAGTCTTGTTAACTAATTATGGTTAATGGAATTTGTTTTGATGCCAAGGATGCATTTATCCTTGTGGGAACCTTTTCATTTGAATCATGCACTCACTGACCTCTGTGGGAAAGAAAAAAAGACTTTTCTAACTAAGAAGCGGATCTATATATAACAGTTTTTCTGTTCTGTTCTATGTATTTCTATATATGTCAAGAATGTGACCAAGACAACATTCTGTAACGTACTGCTTTCTCACACTTAAAAACGTAAGATTATTGTGTTTGATATTACTGACAGGCAATTTGTCAAACACAAAGAAAACATTCTAGGTATTACTTCTTGGATTTGTTTCCTGGAAAGCATAAATATAGGTCAAAGTTTACTCCTACAGAAATGAACGATAATTTTGAAAAATAATGTTTAAAATTATTATCACGTCAAAATAATCACATTAGAATGAAGAAGCTATTGCTTAATTTAATTTATTCTTTATTATCTCATTTCATAATGTATTTTTTAGTAGTAGTAGTAATACCAGTATTTCCTTTATGCCACTTTAGTTGTATTACCTTTAGAACAATCATTAGAATAAAGCACTTTAAAATTAAAAAGCGACATCGAAATGAAACAGGCACCTTCAAAGACAGCTCGGCGTTTACCAGGAGGCTCTTTTAGGGTCCTAGCGTTGCTCAGAGACGCGTTGTTGTCGTACATGTTCAGTGAATCTCCTGGAACCAAACCGAGAATTTTCTTCACAAAATAGCGATATTTTTCCAGCCGTGAGTGCAGACAATCTGTCGACGAGCCCTAAATATATCTTCCTGGGATTGTAAGGCAATATTCTGCCGTAAATAGTGATTTAGATAGCTTAGGTTCCAAACACGCTAATCTGCTAATTAGCCAGCTAGCCAAAGCGAGATTCGGACGTTACCTATCTTCGGGAATATAGACTTCATTATACGTTTTACGGTTTATTGCTCGCAAAGATGAACTAAATGAGCTGTTCGTGTGATGGAGTAAAGCAGCGGCGGCTGTCATGATCGTCTAATCCCGCGGTGTTAAGAGGCTCAGTGTTTAAACTCCTGCGGCTCTCTCTCTCGCGATGGACGCAGGAGGCATTTCTGACCTGGACCTGGACAAATACGACGCCGATGAGCAGGTCAAGATCATCTGCCTCGGAGACAGCGCTGTGGGCAAATCCAAGTATGTTTACTGCTCTCCTTTATGGACTAGCCGTTTGCGTTTTTTCTTTTCTAAATGCTTTGATGATTTCTTTTCAGGCTTATGGAGAGATTCCTTGTTGATGGATAGTATCCTTTGACTTGGTTGTTTGCTGTCAGTATGATATCTCTGTCTGTATGGTTCATTCTGAGAGTTGTCAGGTTCTTAATGAAATGTGTCAGTCGTCCTCAGCAGCTCTCCACATACGCTCTGACTCTCTACAAATACACCACCACCATCAATGGGCAGACTGTCCTGGTTGGTAAGTTTGGCATGGAAGCTGTTATTTTAGTGCGGGATAATTTAACAATTGGCTGTATTGGCTTTGATGCCAACTGAAGCTGTTTATCTGCATACAGATTTCTGGGATACTGCAGGACAGGAACGCTTTCGAAGCATGCACCCGTCTTACTACCATAAAGCTCATGCCTGTATCATGGTAAGAGATGGTCACAAACCACTCGGTCTTATTTTAGTATGTTACTATTATGATATTATCACCCTCATGCCATTCAAGATGTAGATGAGTTTCTTCGTCAAAACAGATTTGGAGAAATGGAGCATTACATCACTTGCTCACCAGTGGATGCTATGCAGTGAATGGGTGCCGTCAGAATGAGAGTCCAAACAGCTGATAAAAACATCACAATAATCCACACGACTCCGGTCCATCAGTTAACGTCTTGTGAAGTGAAAAGCTGTGTGTTTGTGAGAAACAAATCCATCATTAAGTTGTTTTAACTTTAAACCGTTGCTTCTGGACAAAATGAGTCCATAATCCATAATAACACTTTCTGCAGAGAATCCATTGGTGAGCAAGTGATGTAATGTTTAATGTGAAGAGTTTGCTCAAATCTGTAATGTAATGTAATGTAAAGTTTCTCCAAACCTGTTCCGATGAAGAAACAAACGTTCGTCTTGGATGGTTTGAGGGTGAGTACATTTTCAACAACTATTCCTTTAATATTTTGAATAAGATTATATTTTATCTGTTTTATTTTAGTTTAAATTATGTTTTCTGTCATCATTTATTTAAAAAAAATTTTTTTTATTTAAATTTAATTCAGTTTTAGTAGTTTTAATACATCTTATTTTATAAAACATCATTTTTTTTTTGTTTATTTTTTATTTTAGGCAGCATTTTTAAGATTTAAATTTTTCGTCTGATATTTACATTTTCAGTCAACAAAAACAATATTTTAAGAGTTATATTAGATTTGAATAGATTTAGTTAACAATAGCTAAACTGAAACCACTTGAATCAGAGAAATAAATCTTTATTCGTATGCTGCTGTAGTGGCAGATTCATGACTATTTTAACAAAACACACACACACACACACACACACACACACAGGTTTGTTTTTGTGAAAAGTGGGGACTCTCCATAGGCGTAATGGTTTTTCTACTGTACAGACCCTATATTCTATTGCTCTACACCAACCCTACCCCTAAACCTACCCCTCACAGGAGACTTTGTGCTATTTCAGATTTTCAATACACTCCATTCTGTGTGATTTATAAGCGTTTTGAAAAGTGGGGACATGGGGTAATGTCCTGAAAAGTCACCTTCTCCTTGTAATACCTATGTCATACCTTTGTCATTATACAAATTTATGTCCTCATTTGTAACAAAAACACACACACACACACACACACACACACACACACACAAAATGCTCCTCTTTTGACATTTGTTTTGTGTTAAAGGTTTAAGGCTTTTCATAAACCGTACATCTCAAAAAGCTTTCAGAATTAATCAGATTGCTTTTCCCAGGTGTTTGATGTCCAGAGGAAAATCACATATAAGAACCTCCCAATTTGGTACAAAGAACTGCGAGAGTATCGGCCAGAGATTCCCTGTCTGGTGGTCGCTAACAAGATCGATGGTAAATTTGGCTTGTGAGATTCCAGATAAGAGCGGTATTAGCCAGTGTTACGCTCTGCATGTCTCTTATCTTTTGTTCTTTCATGTGTTCTGCTCTTCAAAAGCTGACATGAAGGTCACCCAGAAGAATTTCAGCTTCGCTAAGAAACAAGGTCTGCCCTTCTACTTTGTATCTGCTGCTGATGGGACCAATGTGGTCAAGGTGAGGATGGAAAACAGAGTATCCCTGATTCAGTAACCCTACATTTTTTTATTTTGCTATATTTTTCATATAAAATGTGTTTTCATCTGACAGTCCGTAAATTTCCCAGTTAAGGTGTCTTTGACTATGTAAACCAATTGTGTTCTGGTTTTGCTATTTTTTATGTTAAAAATAAGTTTTAATTTCCTTAAATTCCATACTCAAGTAAATTTTTTCCCCTTTACATTGTCATTTATGTCATCGCATATGAACAATTTAAAATATATTCCTGTTCAGTTTTATGAAAGTAACTGCTAAGCTGACAGGATTGGAGGCTAGAAACACACACCATTTATTTATTTTTTGTCAAGTGTGGTTTTTAATCTCCAGAAATGAATTACAAATATTTAGATGTGTGTTTTAGGGTTGAAAGAACTGCGTGAAGTTCTAATGTTGTGTAAATGTTCCACAGGTGTTTAAAGATGCCATTCAGATGGCTCTGTCCTACAAGAGGAACTCCAACGACTTTATGGATGAAGTCATGAGGGAGCTAGAGGTGTGTGTGTGTTTGAAGGTGAATGCTTACTCTTCATGATGCAGTAACTGATTGATTTTATTCATGCTTTCTTACAGAATTTTGATTTAGACAGTAAAGAAGAATCATCTGATAAAGACGAGGAGACGCAAGAGGGAAAACCGGACTCGGCGTGATCATATCACATTCTCCTCCGCTGCTCCTGCACTTGCACTGATGAGTTCCTCAGATCATGGCTGTCCTCCCACATCCACAGGTGTTTAAAGATGCCATTCAGATGGCTCTGTCCTACAAGAGGAACTCCAACGACTTTATGGATGAAGTCATGAGGGAGCTAGAGGTGTGTGTGTGTTTGAAGGTGAATGCTTACTCTTCATGATGCAGTAACTGATTGATTTTATTCATGCTTTCTTACAGAATTTTGATTTAGACAGTAAAGAAGAATCATCTGATAAAGATGAGGAGACGCAAGAGGGAAAACCGGACTCGGCGTGATCATATCACATTCTCCTCCGCTGCTCCTGCACTTGCACTGATGAGTTCCTCAGATCATGGCTGTCCTCCCACCGTCCTGAGCAGCAACTCTACCTCACACTACTTTGCTCATGAATTAAATTATGATTCTGTGAATGTACAGCTGATTGACCTGATAATAGAATCACAATGCACTTTGAACTCCGATTTGATACAAATTGTGCTGCGTGCAGATTTAGTAAAAAAAAACTTTTAGCACTCTTAAGAGACTTGCGATTTGTGCCGAATGTAACATGAAATATTTTTCAAAAGAATTTTTAAAAAGGGTAATATCTTACAACAGTTGCACATTTCAAGTAACAATTTGTGATGCTCACCAGTATCAATACACTACTTGATCTTTGTACAAGGGTAGCTGATTATACTGTATTTTAAAACATTCATGTTCCCTTATACATTTCTCAAATTTTATGTCCACCTTATTTGCCAACTAAACAGATTTTTATATTAAAGCGATTTGTTGCAAGCATATCTGAGCGCAGGATAAGACTCTCCTCAGGGCTGGATGAGAAGACAAACTCAGTGTAGCAGATGAATGTGTTTGTGTGGATGTGAAAACCAGAGCAAAAAAACAGCAGCGACTGCTCTGGAAGATCACTGACGATTACAAACTGCCAGGTTACAGTTCAGGCTGTGAAACACTGTCTTGAAATGATAAAGTTGATAATGTGCAGCTTTCAATCTTTGGTAAAGCATTCATGTGCCACATGCAGCTGTCTGATGAGATGTCCAGTGAAACTAGGGAAGTTCAGGAGTGAATCTCATGAAATGTCAAGAACATGCCTGTCATGTTACAGTAAAATCAAAACACACAATCCCTCTCATTTTATTTTTTAAATTACTAATTGTAAGTTATTTAGTTTTTAAGTATTTGTTTATCATAGTTGTCTTTTCTAATGAATGTAATTTATGCTGATTTTAAATAATCAAAATTATGTTTGGATAGATGTTTGTCATGCATATTTGTCCTAAAAATGCAAAAAGTGTCCTAAAAAAAATCATGCTAAAATAGACACATTTAGGCATTTTTGGAGTAAAATATGACCCTGATGTTTCTTCATGAGTTTCCCCTTTAGAGACGAGAAATAATTATTACTGTAAAGAGCATGTATTCATATTGCAAAAACTGTGAAGTTTTTTTTTTTTTTAGATTATTGCTTTTGGTTTGTGTTTTGTGATGTTTTTCACAAGTGCTTTATATATGGAACATGCATTGGTGAATTCAAATAGAAGCAGCTTAGTACTCCACATGAATGTGTGTATCTGAACTGGATACAACTTTTACGTCATTAGAAAAATGTTCTTATTTCTGAAGCCTCTGGTGTTTTTATGTTGTGTACACTCATTTGTTCTGTGAGCAGAATGATGTTCATATTAAAGAAATACAAACAAGCGAGATCTTACATGTGGCATTATTCAGAAATTAATTATCAGCACTTTCCACGAACGGGGCAAGTTGACAGATGCATCTAGCTTCTAATAGAAAATGATCAACGCAGAGGAAAGTTCAGAAGATGCTAGTTTTAAAATCAAAAGTCATCCAAGCCAACACTCCTCTCAAACTTACTGTAAAATTATCTTGTGAGAAATACAACTGAATTTACATGATTGCACAATCAAATATGCTTTATGTGAAATTCATTAAAAAATCTGCCAAAACTAGAGAAACTGAGTGAAATCTGCAACCCTGTCACCCATTCTGGTAATTTTGTTTTAATGCTATATATTAAAAAAATATATATTTTTACATTTAATGTTCATCAAACCTATAAAACTAAATACTACATGAACAGTTTTATTTGACATTAATTTGAGGCAAACAATAAGCACTCTTAGTTACAAAATGAAGACCTTTTCAGAGTTCGAAGCCTTGTTTTGTACCTCTTTGTTTAGTACCACCTGAGTGAAATAAACCTCAATCACAACCTCAATTGAGCAATCAACCCACCAGAAAACAATGCTCATTAAAGCAGTATATACTGCATTTCTTGCCATTTTTATTGTGCTTTTGTTGGTCAGAAAACAAGATGGACAACCCTATAGAACATACTGTAGTCATGTATCTGATGTGTTTTATTTCATGTTTAGTCCTGCCATTGGTCGAGTAAAATTACAAAGAAATCAATTGCAATTTTCATTCTGGTTAAATATGCAGAACCCCTGATGTCTGCGCTACATTAGGAGAGAGTAAAGGGCAAAGGTCAGGGAGAGCATCCACCGAATGTGCAAGTCAGTCACTAATTGACTTACTGGAATTCAAGCCAAACAGAACAGACTGTTAAACCCAGACATGAATGTGCCCATGAAACTCAATGAATCAGGCCATGTATGGAAATGTATATAAACTCCTATATTTGGGGAAACAAAAGAAAAATGTCTCAAGATTTCCAGGCGGTGGCACCATAGTGCTGGTTCAAACAGCATTTAGTTCCTACAAACTAAAAAAAAAAAAAACAACAAAAAAAAACGATTATTACTTTTTGGCACATTTGTTCATTTTTCTTCATGTCCTTTCATCTCCTGCTAGAGAACAACTATAATGTAATGTACATGACAAAATCAATATTATGAAAGATGAAAGTGACGTGCACAAAACGAAAATCAGCTCAAGTGTTATCAGAAGATGAGAGGAGGAAAACTGTGGTACATATGGCTCAGAAATGCAGTTCCAAGTCTCCAGAGTGGGACGACATTCACAAAAACACACGCACACTTGCTTTTATTCTTCAGGATGAGCTGATAAAAGGGACATGGTTTTTTTAGTGGGAAGGGAAATGAAATAGGTCATCTCAAAATCAAAACTCGAGCCTTTCTGTAAGATTTTATGTAAAAAAAACTTAGAGGGGTGAAGGAATCTGTGTGTATTTTTCCAGGGCTCATCTGCATTGGAGGACATATATAGTAAGTAATTCACAGTTATCTTGGGGCCCGACTCCAAACAGCCCCTCAACCCCTTCATTCAAGCCCTTGTACAGTCAAACAGACTGACGGTTTAACGCAGAGCGGCTGCTTTAGGAGGGGAGGTCAGGATCTCTGTTAACGAGCTAAATAGTAACTAGTCTTCATCTAGGATGGGAGAATAAAATGTAATCAGAGCAATCGCCATATTTACAGAACAGAAATGAGACTATGAGGTGATAAAAGTACAGTCTGTTCAATTTTGTACTGTTTTAAGGCCACAAGTCATATTTGATTTTTAAAACCCTTATTTTATGCTGGAAATGTATGTATTTTAAATGCCAATCAGAGAAAAAAATTTATATAAACGTCTTAGAGACACTATCGATACCATATCAGTAGATTTTTAATTTATTAATATTGATCAATATTAACATTCATTAAAACGATTTAATTCATTTGAAAGAAGTCTGTTGTGCTCAATAAAGCTGCATTTTTGGGATCAATTTTTGGGATTGTAATTTTATTACAATTTAAAAAAACATTTAGCTATTTTAATATATTTTTAAATATAATTTATTCCTGTGGTGCAAAGCTGAATTTTCAGCATCATTACTCCAGTGTCACATGAAAGATGAAAGTGACGTGCACAAAACGAAAATCAGCTCAAGTGTTATCAGAAGATGAGAGGAGGAAAACTGTGGTACATATGGCTCAGAAATGCAGTTCCAAGTCTCCAGAGTGGGACGACATTCACAAAAACATATGCACCCTTGCTTTTGTTCTTCTGGATGAGCTGAAGGTAGAAACATGATTTTCAGTGGGATGAGAAATTAAAAAGTCTAAATCAAAAATTGAGCGTTTCTGTAAGATTTCAGTAAAAAACAAAGTGGATTAAACAAGTCGAACATGGAATGAAGGAAGGAATCTGTGTGTGGTAGGCTCAGGGCTCATCTGCATCCGAGGATATAGTAAGTAATTCACAGTTATCTTGGGGCCCGACTCCAAACGGCCCCTCAACCCCTTCATTCAAGCCCTTGTACAGTCAAACAGACTGACGGTTTAACGCAGAGCGGCTGCTTTAGGAGGGGAGGTCAGGATCTCTGTTAACGAGCTAAATAGTAACTAGTCTTCATCTAGGATGGGAGAATAAAATGTAATCAGAGCAATCGCCATATTTACAGAACAGAAATGAGACTATGAGGTGATAAAAGTACAGTCTGTTCAATTTTGTACTGTTTTAAGGCCACAAGTCATATTTGATTTTTAAAACCCTTATTTTATGCTGGAAATGTATGTATTTTAAATGCCAATCAGAGAAAAAAATTTATATAAACGTCTTAGAGACACTATCGATACCATATCAGTAGATTTTTAATTTATTAATATTGATCAATATTAACATTCATTAAAACGATTTAATTCATTTGAAAGAAGTCTGTTGTGCTCAATAAAGCTGCATTTTTGGGATCAATTTTTGGGATTGTAATTTTATTACAATTTAAAAAAACATTTAGCTATTTTAATATATTTTTAAATATAATTTATTCCTGTGGTGCAAAGCTGAATTTTCAGCATCATTACTCCAGTGTCACATGATCCTTCAGAAATCATTTGAATATGCTGATTTGCCGCTCAAGAAACATTTCTTATCGTCATCAATGTTGAAAACAGTTTTCCCACTTAATATTTCCTGTGGAAACTGTGATACTGGATTCTTTGATGAATAGAACATTTTACAAGAACAGCATTTATTTGAAATAGAAATCTTTTATAACATTATGTCTTTAATGTCACTTTTGATCAATGTAATGCATTTTTGCTGACTAAAAGATTCATTTCTATCCCCCCAAAAATAAATACAAAAATTAAATGAATATTTACCAGTAATGAATAACTGTAAAATACAATTTTTGGCAAATCCCAGAATTAATATCCATTCTGTACTTTATACTGTTGTAATGTCTAAAATCACAATTGATTTCATATCCCTAGTGAAATCAGGTTTAGAATGCCACTCCCATATTTAGCAGTGTGTCCAAAACAGCATAAAGAAGAGGAGTGACATCTGTATTTACCTGCAGTGTGAACAGGCTGTACTTCTCTTTTCGTTCATATCAAGATAAATATGGCATCTACTCTGACTCAACACTGCTCCTACAGAAGGGCTTTTTCCCCACACAGTGTTACTGGCGTGCTCATCTGATGAGGCACTGAGAAGCTCTCCTCATCCTTGGCTGTTTGCGTGCGGCCTGATTTCAGATGCAAGAGAAGAGATGACCAATGGTGAAGCATTAATCGTTCTGCTGTCACAGTCAAACACACACACACACACACACACACACACACACGTTAGGTATTAAAAACAGGACTGATGGTGCACAGAAGAGAAATGAGCGTCTGTGTTTGCATGTCCCAGGTTTCGTTTAAATATGCATCTGTTGAGCCCTAATGGAGGGTTGAATGGGACAGGTGGGAATGAATGGCTTGAAATGCTAGCACCTTGTTTTGTGCAAATCACCCCCGAACTCCATACAAAGAGTAAAATCTTCACCTTTTTTGACAGGTGGTTAACTATGCATATATGCCAAACATTCATATATAGATCTATATATTTTTTGATTTTTAAAAATTTATATGAAAACTATCGTATATACATTGCTTGTGATTGATATAAAAAGCAAATATTTGAGTCATTTGTCCATATGTACAGCTGCAGGATTTCTGGGCTTCTTTTTCATTGATTGTTTTTTCATGAAATCTTTTGTCCTCAGCTTCTTCTTTTTTTACTACTGTAGTTGTCATTCTAAAATTCATTCTAAATGAATTCATAAAAATTCTTCTAAGCATCATATTTCACAAGCTACAAAATCCACCTATGAGGAGAAAGAAAAAATAAATAAAGGCCAAAACAAATAAGCCAAATGGTTCAGTGCTTACAGCAGGTTAACATATAAGCCATACGGTGGAAACTTTTACAATTATAGATTCTGTCTTCGAACACCAGTCGTTACCATCCAGATGTTTCTCGTCCCACAGCGTTTCTGTCATGCACACCACACACACCTTTGTTCACACACACACTTATTGCAGAGTTTCTTATTTGGAATTTCTTATTACCAGATTAAGAAGACTTATTTAGATCAAATTTGGATAAGAAACCGGTGTGGTTGTGCGCATGATAGTGTGTAACTGTACTGGGAACGCGTTTTTGTTTCATACGAAAAAACTACAAATGAATAACAGACAAAAGCGGTGTGTGTGAAGGGCTCAAACATGAACACACCGTTACAGCCCAATTAAAGATGGAAGACCAGGTTCTGTAAAACTATAAGAAAGAAAAGCAAAAAAGGGGGTGGTACAATGCAAATCGAACAAATCAGTCAACCGTCATTCCGTATGGTGATGTAACGTTTCATGCTACAGTCCATCATAAAAGGATAACCATCAAAAATCATTTTCAAGAGTGTTTTTTTGTCTTTATATATATAATATCATATATAAGTTTTATATTTATGACAAAAATGTTATATTCATATATCTATATACTTTTTTCTGTCAAATATATATGTATATAATTGGTAAAAATGGGTAAATTATTGGTGGAATAAATCATCTAGGGAGAGAGACAGGTGCAGTTTTGCACGGTCCGTCCTGTTGTTTGCTGTCTCCCTCCATTTTCAAAGCTATTTAAATACATTGAGATATTCTATCTAATGTCATATTTCCTTTGGAAACCCAAAGTTAAGAGTCTGATTATGAAAAAGCCACTAGTGTTGGTTAAACATTCTCAGAGTGTAGTACGTCCCTCAGCCAGAAGGGGGCAGGCGGTAGACAGAGAGGATCTGGCCACGCCCACTCTGCTCATCCACTCCTAAAAAAATACTCTGAAAGGCAACTGAACTTCCTTTTCTCAACAGCATCCCTCCTTTCTCTGAATGAATGACAGCGGTAAGAAGCGAATAGTAAAGTAGAAAAAAATGGATTTGGGACTAAGGGATTAGTGGGTGTTTATCATGCAAATGAAACTGAAGAATCAATTACGAGATGTTTTGAACAGGCTTTGTTTTCGACAGACAGCAAAAATCTGAGTTTTGTAGCAGTTGAGCATTATGTTTGACCCCCATTACTGTAAGTGGTTTGAAATCAGATTCAAATGCAGTGTGAACTGTCAAATTGGATTCCAAGTAGTTTTTCCTAATTCGGGATGAGAATTTACTTTGCAAATACACTAATTTTCTCTCACTTTTTCACCATATAGGAAACTATACAGTGAATAGTAAATGAGTTGAATCAATGAGCGGTTTTAAGTATTTGCATAAATGCATTAAATAAATGCATCATGAGTTTGGCACCACGGCAAATCGCTGTCAGCAGATCTGATTTTGCAAAATAAATCAGATTTTTGTGCAGTGTGAACAAAGCCAATTCGATCACTAAATTCACAGTCCCTTCCAAATACACAGCACCCATGTGATTGGCTGCTGGCAGTAGAGTGGGAGGGGCTTAGGATAGTGCTACAAAAAACAGCATGGAGTCAACACCCACTACACCAATGATGGATTTAGGAAATAGTGAGATTATTTAAAACAGAAGTGTGTCATTTCTGCGGCAATAGCACAAATGATTGTTGGTTGAACAAACACTGTCAATGTTGGTGCGTCGGATTGGTTGGGATGCTCAAATAAACAGAGCAATGTTTTCAGGGGAATATTAAACTGCATTCCTGGAAAAAGAGGTCCAAAAAAGTTGTCACTGGTGCAGTACCCTTCCGTTGTACCTTATTTATAGGGTTGCAAAGGGTGGAACATTTCTGTAAACTTTCCAAAAATTTCTTCCTCTTTGCAACCCTACTTATTTCTACCCCTAAAGGCTTCATAATAGTACCTTAAAGCAGGGGTGTCCAATCCTGCTCCTGGATGGCCACTTGTTTAGAGTTTAGCTCTAGTTCCAGTTAAACACATCAGTTGAACAGCTAATCACGGTCTAAAGAATCAGTAGAAACTTCCAGACAAGTGTATTGAAACTGCTGAGAGCTAAACTCTGAAAAAAGTGGCCCTCCAGGAGCAAAATTAGACATCTCTGCCTTACATATCAGCACCAAAAATGTACCTATTAGTATCTAAATGGTACATATTAATACCATTTAGTAACACCCCAGGGATTGCTTTTTACAAAAGCGTGGGATAGGATAATTATTTTAACATCGAAATGACACACTTCGGATTTAAAGCTCAAGAATTGCAAGAAAAATGACAAGCAAATTAAATAAGAAAATAAAAGAAAACTGTGTTGAGACTAGCTACAGGTAGAGGGAGGCGCGTGGTCAACTCTCCAGCAGCTGTTTAAGGGCGCGCTCAATGTTCATGCGGTGACCGACGCGCGTCACGCCCAGCTCAGCGAAGTCCTCCTTGGTCAGAGCAGGCAGATGGGAGCCCTCAATCTCATGCTCTTGGAATCGCTCCCGGTGTTCAGACAGGTTAATGCTGGCCAGCCAGTCGCCAACGTCGTACTTGTTCCACAGGTGGAGGGGCTTCTGGTGGAACGGCCGTAGGGTGAGCAGGGGGGAGGGCATGCCCGAGGAGGGGGCGGGCGAGGGAGAGCGACTCCGTGCGCTGGAGCTCCTCATGACGAAACGCACTTCTTTAGGTTCGTGAGGGAGACTGAGGCTAGACGACTTAAGGATGGTGGGGGGTGTGATGGGAGAAGTGGCCAGACCGAATCCCCGGATGGGTCCCAGAGGATCCGAGCGGTCCGGGGAACCGGGACTGGGTGTCCGCCGGGTCATTGGGTAGCGGCTGCCTGGTCTGATGGTGTAGGTGGTGCCGTAGCCTCTCTGAGAGATAGTATGGAGCTCCCCCAAACTGCTGAAGAGTCTGGAAGTAGGGAACAGAAGAGAAAAGGAGGGGGGCAGATAGGATGAAAGTCAACTTTTTTTTTTTGTGAGAAACAGCTCAAAAACAAAGCATCAGCTATGTTAGGACTCTAAGTTTTTTGAGTTAGACGTGGTTAGTGACATGTTTAATTAATGCGTTTAGCCGTAATAATAGAAGTGCAAAGGTGTTACAGACCTGCGGTGCAAAGATAGAGAGAATACATCATGAGATCAAAGAAGAGTTTATAGTTCAGTCATACAACTAAAATTTATAGTGTTTTCTCCTAAAGGACCGTTCACACCAAGCACGATAACTATAAAGATAACGATAAAGATATAGTTCTAAAAATCATTCTCAATATTAAAGAATAGCAGAGTCCACACCACAGCTATAACGATAAAGACACAGAGAAACGAATCACTTTCAGAACGATTTTTTTTTTCAGCTGATGAACGATAAAAACATTGACAGCCAATCAGATTCAATCCTGCTATAACGAGTTCGAGAATTGAAAGCAGCAGACGAGCATGCGCTTACAGACAATATCGTTCGCTGGTGTGGACGCTAATATCATTTTCTTTATAGTTATCGTTCTTGGTGTGAACAGGGCTGTAGTCAATATGACATCAAAATTCAACCTATTTACACTGTAAAAACACCTTCTTAATCAGTTTGAATGCCTTTTTTTTTTATTTTTCAGTGAAAATATCTAAAAATCCCTAAATTTACTTGTGAAGCAAACTGCAAATAAAATTAAAACTAGCTTTTATGCATTGTATCTTGAATATACATATATTTTGTCTTACTGCACTGACAGCTTTATTTGATAGTATCAATAAGGTAAAAACAAGTAAAAAATACTGGTAACAATATACAAGAATTGTTTCATTTGTTAACATTAGTCTACATTTGATAGCATCTAAACTTCTAAATAATTTTTTTAATTTTATGTATTTATGCTCAACATTAACTAATACATTATTGAAATGTAAAAGTTGTTAATATTATTTATTGGAGCTAAGCTCGCTTGAACTAACAATGAACAGATGTATTTTAACGAACTAACATTAACAAAGATTAATAAATTCTGTAACAAATGTATTGCTCATTGTTAGTTAATCTTATGGTGTATGGCTTCACAAGTACATTTTTCTTATTTCAAGGATTTCTACATATTTTCAGATGACAATTGGACAAAAAGTTGAATTTAATTTAAATAATTTAAGATTATTCATTTTTAAATGTAATTTAGTTAAATAGAAACACACTAAATGCAGAGCAACTGACCAAATGCATATCCATATTAAATTAAATTTATAATTTTTTGCCACTAAGACAGTTTATAAAGTTGAACGGTTAAACTTTTGTTTAGTTCTGCATGCTACAATTGTAACTAGGCAAAAAACTCGCTCTCCACTTAAAACCTGCTTCTGTGTGCAATGAAGCGAAGATCAGATGTAATTACTCAATTAACAATCAATGGTAATGACTGGGGTGTTACATGAGTTTGAATGCAATCTGAATGAAATGTAAAACATGGCCAGATTTACACAAATTTTATGAGCACTACAGCAGAACACTGAAAGCACAACCAAACATGCAACACATGAGAAACAACAGAAGACAGATGTGGAGACACGAATAACATCTCAACCTTCAGATTACTTATTGTATTATTTTGTGAAAATTCTATAACAATATAGGATTCATAATTTGAGATTTTTACATAACTAGCCAAGTCAGCCATATTTTTTTGTGAAGAGGACAGAACTTATTTAACAATACAGGTGCAAGCTCTGATCATTACCTATCATATCTGTAGAAGCAGTCTATGAAAAATCAAAATGAAAACTAATGCCCTATACTTGATTTGATCGAATCCTTTTGCCTCTGTAATTTGAGGATTGAGAATTAAGCAGCCAATGAAAAACATGGAAAAGCTGGGGTTTAGAGGGGCCTGGCCAAATCAGTAAATGAGGAAGGGTGGATGATGATCAGGGCTTGACTCGGAGGTGTGGAAACAGAAAAAACAGAGATGAGATGATTCATGCGCACTTACACAGGTGCCCGGCTCTTCTGGGCTTAGCCTCAAATTCAGCTCTAGACAGAGCAGCGTAGCATGCAAAAAGAGAGTGAGAGAAAGAGGGAGAGAGGGAGATAGAGAAAAAGAGAGAGAAACAGAGGGAGAGAGAGTGAGGGGCAATGAGAAAGAGAGAGAGAGAGAGCGGTCGGTTAGCATCAGTCCATGACAGAACAAAAACAAACACCACACACTTCACATCCTCAACAATGTCAATTGAATGCAAACCAAATGCTTAGCGACACAGACCAGAGCGCAGCTAGCCCCAGACCTCAGCTTTCAATGGTGGAACGTGCACATATAGACACTATCAATAAAGAGTGACTTTTGATGATGTGAAATTAAACACAGCATTTCTTTCAATACGTCCTCTGTCTGGGGTAAGGTGCTGTTCTGGTCAAATGAAACAAAAATTAAGCAAAATGAACAAATATGCATGAAAAATAAACAATGCATAAAACTACATGAGCAACAATTTTTCCAAGAAGAAGCCGGAGCGATTACTGTGTTAGCATGATTAATGGATGAAAGTGTCACAAAACACTTAGCGAGTACAGTAAGCTTGGACAGCATGTTTGAATGGAGAGAAAGAAAAAGAACGACTACACAGAGGAATTAGATATTATTATTATGATTACACTGTGATGATTATGTTGGTTTTATGTTGGATCATCCAATGTGAAATGACAACTTTCAGCTGGTGTAGTTAATTTAAACTAAATCCAGTTTTAAAATAACTTTATTGAGGGTTGGACAAACATGGGTTTATAGCTCACAATTACTGTGATAAACATGGGTCAAACAACACATTCATATCCTATGATGTTGCAAGAAAAAAACATCAGTCACACATGGATCCACATACATACTGCTAGCAGAGTGCCATAGAGAAGCAGGCCGGAGGGAAAAGCTCACTGAGTTAGATGTGACAGAGTTTGGAAGGTGAGAGGTCGAAGCTTGAGATGGTGCATGCCCTCAGGCCATCTGTTACCTTGTGAACACCCAAATGGCAAGAGGGACAGAGGGAATTAAAGGAGTGCTTTTCAAATTACATTTATGTCATAATGTAGTCACCCTACTGCATCTCATCAAGAATGTTTTAGAGTCACATCATGTTCACTGAAAAAGGTGTCATAACCGAAACAGGTGTACTGAGAATACTTGACAATACTGTCAAGGGACAGACATTTTGGTTGATTTGCCAGGGTGGACAAGGGAACACAGAACCTGCAGAAGTGATTAATAAAACCCAGAACAATGTCAGCAAAAGTGATCGAATATGGGATTAGTGGATGTTAAAGAATAGAAAATAAAATAAAAGGAATGACATTTGATTTACCCTAGTGGCTAAAAGCTAAGGTTTACTGTCTTCCATGTCCTTGTCACATCTGTTGGGATATAAATGACTTCAGCTGTATTTAAGGATATAAGCAAAATAGTACATAGCTGGTGTTTTTAAAAAATCAAGACAGAAAAAAACATAGACTTTTATTGATTTTATATGAAACATTTTTTATTGCAATTAATTATTTTAACTCAAGCTGTCCCTGTAGCTCTGGTTATGTGCATTGGTGTATCTACAGAAAAGTCTGTATTACACTAACTATTGTCTACGGGTTATATGGTAGAGCTGTGAGATCAGCCTGAGGCCGTTCTACATTACTTACCAGTGGTCGTCCAATGCTGAGATAGTTCGGGGGCTCCAAACGTCTCAATGAAGAAAGCATGTTAAACATTAACACTTAATGCTTCTAAACGAGTAAGAAATTTTAAGGTTCTGGATTAGCTTTCTTTTAAATAAAAGTTAAAGGTGACTACTTCTGAAACTCTGGACAGACACGTTATGTTCTTTGGTATTCTTTGTGATTTTCATGAGGATGTTTAATATATAATTTATGTTCATTTTATTTCATATTACTAAATGCAAACTGTGAGCTTTGATTGAACATTGTTATTCAGATATGGGAAAAGAATTGCACAGTGTTCTCACTGTTATTTAAACAATAGGAAACTTGCATTTGCAGTATAAACAAACAACTTTTGTATTCTCTTTGCAATGTTGCGTTAGAAAAGGTGTTGAATTTGTTTTCATAGAAGTTCAGATTCAGTTGTAAAGCTGATTTGCAATCGGTCTTCTCCAGGATTCACACCTTACCTTGCACCGACCACGGGCGATTTCCTTCCGGGGTCAAGTGAAGCTCCAAGCGGCTCTTCCCCGAGTGAGCGCGTGTCCTTGTTCAGCTGCTGCAGCCGAGAGCTGAGCTCGCTGATCACAGTGGGTTTGCCTTCCTCTGCCCCTGAAAGCGGACGGGGTTCCACGGGGTCCCCCCACAACTTGGAGCGTCTCTGGAAGAGGTAGCGGGGTCTGGCCGGGCCTGAGGCTCCCGCAGCAGCAGCCAGCGCAGCCGCGTGCTGCTGTGAGAGCAGTTCGCTATCGGATGACTGCTTGAGCAGGGGGTCCCTGAACGTCACCGGGCCCTTGCTGAGCTGGGACTTGAGCTTTGGCTTTGGAGGCACTGGCGGCTTATCAAGAATAAATGTCTGGCCATCTGCGTGGGTGGTGTAGGTGTCCGTGGGCTCGCCGCTTTCCGAGGACAGTGTGGACATGCTGGAGACAGTGGAGATGGTGCTCGTGGTCTCCAGGTGGTGATCACTGGAGCTACGAGTGTCTACCTCTTCCACCCCGGAGTCAGCAGCAGACTCTGGGCCCAGGTGGGACTCAGATGGCTTCCCTGAGGCTGCTTGCGGGCCACTGCTAGTGGAGACCTGTGCTGCTGCGGCGACCACTGCTGGAGGGGCGGGGGGTGGGGGTGTTGCCGAGGGCAGGGCAGAAGGGGTTGTCTGCGCCAATGTAGGAGCAGGAGGTACTGCAGTTGCAGATGTCTTTCCAAGAAGGCCATTGGAAAATTCATCCGGTGGAGGAACCACACCGATTTTGCGGAGCTCCTCACGCGTCTCCTCATCACTGGAAGAGAGCATGGCAGGTGGCAATGTGACCGTATAGGGTTCCACATCCTCCTCAGAACTACCCTGTGCCAGGGTTTTATCTGAGGACGGGCTGGGAGGTGGCTGGGAAGTTGGAGCTGTGGCTGGAGGCGGGGTGGATCTCGAAGGAGCATCGGGACCAGGGGACTTGGCGCGTTTTATTTCGGCTAACATGGGTTTCGGGCTCTCTGACAATGTCCCCTTGGGAGAAGGAGAGGGGACAGTGTGTTCTGGGCTGGGCCCCACGGCCTCCCCATTACTTGTTGCATGAACCATGATAAGCCCAGCAGTTTTCTGCTGAGACGTGTCCATGATGCTGATGATCATACTCTTCTTGTCCTCAATTTTCCTTTCCTCCTTCAATTCTGTCCTTGTTTCTAACTCTTTCCTGGTGGATATGGGACTTCCCCACTGGATTTTGCTGGTGGGGGCAGAAGTCTCGTAAATTCTTTTCGTTGCAGGGGAAAAGGGAGGTGAGGCAAACTCCCTCTCACCCTGTGACCGCTCAGCCTTTTTGGTCTGGGTCTCCATATACAGCACCCCTCCAGCAGCTTCATGTTTAGTTCTGGGCTCTGGGCTGCTTGAAGGGGACTGACTCTGGGAGGTTAATGCCCGTTCCCTTGCGGCCAGCGCAAGTGCCAATGGAGAGTTGGGGTCCAGGGGCTTGCCCGTCAGCGGGTGAATGAAGGTGGTGCCCCCAGGAGAGGGTCGCAATGCCAGGGCGGGAGGAGGCAACTGACCAAGTTCACGTGTGAGCATTCGTTCATCAACAGAACGGGATGGTGTGAGTGAGGGGGCCTCTGCGGGAGGTGCCGAACTGCCCTCCATAGTGCCCACTGATAGGAAGACTGTGGATTTCCGCCTCTCCTCCAGTCGACGTTCCCGGTCTTTCACAGCATCAGCAATGGCGGCAGCGAAAGGTCTCTTTCCTTGCAACAGTCCCTCAGCTTGAGCTTGACTGCGTTCCTGCAACAGCTGCTGCTGCTGCTGATAGAAATCAGCCCTGCTGGTATGGTGGGCAGCTAGGCGCCCAGAGGGAGAGTGCTCTCTTGCATGGATGGATGCCAGTGCTAGCGAGGCTCTCTCCTGAGCATCTTCCACCTGGAGTTGCTTTACAAGCGGGCTCTTCCTCCGTTGTGGCTTGCTCAGAGGTGGCGTGAATAGGCCCACGCTAAACTGGCCCACATTGGCGTAGGGGTTATCGATGACCCGACCTTTCCTCTTGATCCTTTCGGGCTGAGTTGAAACTGAACCTGGCCTGGGGATGTCAGTAGGCTCCACGGGAAGGTGGGAGGAGTCCTGCAGGATGATCATGGAGCGGGCTTTCTTCTGCCGATCCATGTGGGAGGCATGGCGAGGCGGCTCAAACAGTTCAGCAGACATTGTCTGTGGCAAAGCGTGCAGTCTTGGTTCAGAGCCTGGTTTGAAACTGGAACGGCTGGGGTCGTGAATGCGGCCAGGGGGAGGGGGTGGGCAGAACGAAGGAGGGGGTCCAGTATCTAGATAGTAAAGCGATGGGGGAGGTGGGGGAGCCGTTTGAGGAGGTGGAGGGATACTATGGCTGTCTCTCAGGCTGTCCGTCATGGAGGAGCTCCGCGGAAATCTGTGCTCTGCTGCCAGGGCAGACAGCCGATCCTCTTCAGTTGCTCCTGCACAGACAGACAGATAGATCTATAAAAATTTATTTTGGGTTTGGCTGAGCTTTGATGACAAACAAGTATGCAATAATTTACAGATTTGATCTTTGGTCTTTCCTTTCACTGCTTCCCTTATTCTTGGCATTCCAAATGTTACTGTGTGTCAAAGTTCTGCATTTAACTCTCTAAGCACCAAAGTCGCAAAATTGTGACAAGACGTCATACTTAATAAAATAGACTGTAGTTCCTAATATGGTGTAATATCTAATTTGTATTCCCCACCACTAGATGGCAGACATGCAGTACTTCGATTCTAGACCAAAATTACGTCACGTTCCTATTCAAAGTGTTCGAGGAAATAACAGAGCAAGTGAGCTATCGTGTCATTGGTGCGGAAGCAGTTCAGTTCATAGTGTGCGAGTAAATTGTGAGATTTGTGAGAGAAAATCGCAAAATGGCTAATAAAAAGTTGTACCGTGAGGATGTGTTGCAAATGTTATTCGCCGATTCTGACTCTGAAGGGGAATAGTTGCCTTTTGGAAATGACGATCGGTAGTCTAATAACCGTGCTTCGTACATCTTTGCAGCACAATGGTGCCGCCGTGCAAGGCGAGAGTGTTCACGAAGCACAAACAAGTGATCATTTCGACCCTTTACCCAACGGGGATGGGGGTGGCAGCGGTGGACGTGGTCGTTGTGTCCATAGGAGAGCTGTTGCTAGAGGTAGAGGCAGCAGGGGTAGGAGAAATAGGGCTGGAAGTAGCACTAGCTTTTTGGATCCAGTCAGAGCGGCTCTGGATCCAGTGCCCCAAAGAGGTGGGAGTGGCCGCGGTACACGGTGCAGTCAGTGTGGGGTAGGTCTGTGCACTGTGCCATGCAATGTGAGGTACCATACTTTCAAGAACTATAAACTGTGTCACCTAGATACCTGATTTGGCAGATAGCTGGTCAACTGATCAAAAAATAGGCACATGCATTTTACTATGGCACAGTAATATAGTAATAATTTACTACTTTCTCCTGTTTTACTGTTGATTTCCTCTTTCCTGATAATTTGGAATGAGGATAAAAAGACAAAAAAACTTGCAAATAAGTTCAAACATCCATTCAATATCTATTATTTCCTGAATATTACTGATGAACTGATCAAAAAGTAGGCTACTGTTCACATGTGTTTTACTACTATATAGTATAGTAATAATTTTGTACTTTCTCCTGTTTTATTGTTGGTTTCCTCTTTTCTGATAATTTGGAATGAGGATACAAAGACAAAAAAAAACAAAACAAAAAAAACATGCAAATAAGTTCAAACATCAATTCAATATCTACTATTTTCCTGAATATTATGAAATTCAAGCTGGCCGCCCCCTAATGATGTCATAATATGCAAATTAGACGAGTATATTTACACCCCACATAAACTTTCAGTCATGCCCAACATTTTTGTAATTTACAGTAGATCTCTATCTTTAAGCCCTTTTAAGCCACAAGCTTTTGAAATCTTGATGTCAAAATCTAGCATTTTCCCAAAAATTCCTGACGCCTAAAAGGTTAAATGCATTCAGATTTGAAGATCAAAGGACAGAGCTTTTGAAATCTTGATGTCAAAATCTAGCATTTTTCCAAAAATTCCTGACGCCTAAAAGGTTAAATGCATTCAGATTTGAAGATCAAAGGACATATAGATAAAAGAAACTAGAACAAAGCGAAGCACTTTACTGCTATTTCAAATTGAGGGGCTTAATTGAGGAGTGTATGTAAAAGATTCCTGAAGAATTACCAAAAGACTTTGTTCTAGCCATGCTTTTCGGTAGCTGCATGTGGGCTTTTTCCAACGCTGGGTGTAGAGCACCATGGAGAGCAAGTCCTTGCCGCTCAAAAAGAGACTGCACAAAGAAAACATTTATGTTTAAAAGGGTCAAGCAAGAATATTTTGGCATATTTTCAACAAAGTGTTTCTATTGGCTACTGTTATTGTAAGAAGCTTCATCCCTGCTGAAAATACCAGCATACAGCTATGTTTTGTAAAACTATGCTGGTACATTAGACCACCATCAAACCTGCATCAAGCCAGTTTTTCAGTTTGATAAATGTAAAACAAAGAAACATTTTTGACTTTTGAAGTCAACTGTGTACATATAGCGTATTTGGTCAATGCTGCTAAAATGGGACACTTTCTGATCATCTGAGTGTGTGCGGACATACTGTATCTTACACTGATTTCTGCTGGTGTAATTCTGCGACTAGTAGGACGTTGCTTCACCGTTGCGGCTCTGTAGTCTGCTTCCACCTTTGGCCTCAGTACTGTCTCCTGAGAGGCCAAAATCTCATCTAGTCTTTCTGTTAATAAACACACGCATAAAACCAAGTTCATTATAAACACCCACACAGGTAGTTCTCAACAGGTTGTATTATGGATCTCATTTGATCACATGCTTTGAAATAAAAAAGGCAAAATAATATGTTAATGACACATAATTAACAGAATGCATCACTGCTTCTTATTTATGGCAAAAGGTGTAGTATGGCAAGCTCGGTTCCAACCCATAGACCTGCCTGGCTGTATACTGTCTACTTGAGTATTGCCTTACACAGGATACATTCGTATGTTCTTCTGAAGTTTATCAAGGTATTGCATGTTGACGAAGAAAAACAATTAAACACATCACAGATGAAGGCAAGAATGCATCCTGTGTGAACAGTCCCTAAGGCAGCATCCTAACTGAAATAGAACTCATTTGGAACACTCCACGTGCCACACAAATAGAATTCCTCGTGTGAAGCACATGAGAGGTGAAACTCACAAAGGATTTCCAGTTTGGCATCAGCACGTTGCTACGTTAAGAGTGTGAAATTCAAATAAGCATGAAAAATACAGAAATACTGGATAAAATAGTCATTAATCAATTACATTTTGACACATTAATAAAAAAATGTTTTACATTTATGTTTAAATTAGTATAGCAATTTTCAAAACATTCTGGGACATTCAAAACAAGGTATTTTTTAAGAGAGCATAATTTTACTGCCTTTATGATGGGAATGCCTAAAAATACTGGTTAGGTAGGCAGCTCACTAGGTTTTGGAACAGAGCCAAATAAATCATATTCCAGCATGAGCAAGGTGAAGATGGTTGCATACACATTTTTTGTTGGCTTCTAAAAACCTCAACTTACCTCCCCTTCTCCTCCTTGCAGAGGCTGAGCATGAAATAAATGTACAGAACACTTCTCCATTAAAGTCTCACAGCAGCAAATGTCTGTCGATATGCATTTCAGTGTGTGAACGTGAGTGAATATGTATAATGAACTCAGTAAACTCGGAGCACAGCTTGAGCGAGAGAGGAAAAGACAGCTGATGTTTTGAACAGCCCAAATGACTGCAGGAGGGAGATGACACAGTTAATAAATAAACAAGAAAGAGCAACACAGAGAGAGACAGATAGAGAGAAAATGTTGCATCCAAATGTGTGTTAGGCTTGTGTTAGGGGAATAGGATGTGTAAAACTATCTATTTTCCTAATTGACTATTTTATAATCTGAATGACTGACTAGTTGGAAGAACCCTGATGCCCAATAATGTCCATCTTCATATGCACAAATGCTTAAAAAAGTGCACACTGAATCCAAGTATGCGCAGCCCTTCAATAGAGTAAATTACAGTGTTTGTTTCTTCATTGGAAATTTAGCATTACATCACTTGCTCACCAATGGATCCTATGCACTGATGTTCAGTGAATGGGTGCCGCCAGAATGAACATCATAAAAATCCACAAGTAATCCACATGATTCCAGTCCATCAGTTAACATCTTGTGAAGTAAAAAGCTGCATGTTTGTAACAAACAAATCCATCATCAAGTCATTTTAACTTTAAACCGTTGCTTCCAGCCAAAATACAAGTCCATAATCTATAACACTTCTTCCAGTGAAAAAAATCTCCTGTTGTCCTTTCACATCAAAATCCACCAACATTTTTTAGAACTGTTTTCACTTATAAATGAAGATTGGTCTGTGCATATTTCTTTATTGAGTCAGAAGAGATGGCTTTTTCCAATGGAGAGAGCAGTATTACACCATGTCCTAACTACATGCGACGCCATGACACACGATATAAGGTATCTTTTCCATATTAATCAATAAGAGTTTTTATCCTAACCAGCCATGACGGCAACATGCAAAGTTTCTATTTTAGAAATGGTTTCTATTTCTGCGATGTCACGTGTGGATTATTGTGATGTTTTTATCAGCTGTTTGGACTCTCATTCTGACGGCACCCATTCACTCTAGAGGATTCATTGTTGAGCAAGTGATGTAATGCTACATTTCTCCTGATGAAGAAACAAACTAATCTACATCTCGGATGGCCTGAGGGTGAGAACGTTTCAGCAAATCTTCATTTTTGGGTGAACTGTTCCTTTAAGACAAAAACTGAAAGAAAAAATATTCGACCTCACAACATAGCGCATTTGTTTGCTCGAGGAATTCTTACCTAGTTCTTCGAGCTCAGCGGTCATGCTTTTGGACCTCAGGGTGAGGGTGGTGCTGGGCGCTCTTGCTTAAAAAAGTGCACACTGAATCCAAGTATGCGCAGCCCTTCAATAGAGTAAATTACAGTGTTTGTTTCTTCATTGGAAATTTAGCATTACATCACTTGCTCACCAATGGATCCTATGCACTGATGTTCAGTGAATGGGTGCCGCCAGAATGAACATCATAAAAATCCACAAGTAATCCACATGATTCCAGTCCATCAGTTAACATCTTGTGAAGTAAAAAGCTGCATGTTTGTAAGAAACAAATCCATCATCAAGTCATTTTAACTTTAAACCGTTGCTTCCAGCCAAAATACAAGTCCATAATCTATAATAACACTTCTTCCAGTGAAAAAAATCTCCTGTTGTCCTTTCACATCAAAATCCACCAACATTTTTTAGAACTGTTTTCACTTATAAATGAAGATTGGTCTGTGCATATTTCTTTATTGAGTCAGAAGAGATGGCTTTTTCCAATGGAGAGAGCAGTATTACACCATGTCCTAACTACATGCGACGCCATGACACACGATATAAGGTATCTTTTCCATATTAATCAATAAGAGTTTTTATCCTAACCAGCCATGACGGCAACATGCAAAGTTTCTATTTTAGAAATGGTTTCTATTTCTGCGATGTCACGTGTGGATTATTGTGATGTTTTTATCAGCTGTTTGGACTCTCATTCTGACGGCACCCATTCACTGCAGAGGATCCACTGTTGAACAACATTTCTCCAAATCTGTTCTGTTGAAGAAACAAACTCATCTACACCACGAACGGCCTGAGGGTGAGTACATTTCAGCAAATTTTCATTTTTGGATGAACTATAAATGGAAAACAATTTAGAAAAACTATTCAACCTCACAACATAGTGCATGTGTTTGTTTGTGGGCGTCTTACCTAGTTCTTCAAGCTCAGCGGTCATGCTTTTGGACCTCAGGGTGAGGGTGGTGCTGGGCGCTCTTTTTGGAGGCGGGGGCGCTGTGGAGGAAAGGCAAGGAGTAGATGAGGAGATAGGATGGCGTGGCGAGGGGCCTTCACGGCTGCTGCCCATCGGCAGCTGCCAGCGCTTTTTCACCATCTTCATCTGAAGATCAACGTACCACACTGCCGCACCACGATTAAACTCTCTCCTTCCGTCTTTCTCTCTCTGACATGCAACATAGAATCATACAACTATCAGACATCTCCTGTGTGATTGCACGACCAGAAACCAACTTCCGTTCTTGGCGGCCCTCCGATGGTAGAAAGAAAAACTCGTCTCCCAAAACCCCTCATATCACATTCAGCCTCTTACAACCCAAATGGTGGCCGAGTTTCCCTTTGTCTCTCAGAAACGAAACCTGATGCTATGTCCAAAGCATGCTATTAACTCCCAAGCAGCGATACAAGAAGCACCAAGAAAACGATCAGAGTTCCAGGAGATCAGATTCTTCTGTCGTTTCAGTAACATCGGCATAAAACTCCTCACTCCTTCAGCTAACAACCTTGCAGACCGGAGTGGAGCTGGAGAGAGAAAGACGAGGAGAGAAATACCAAGGCACTAATGCAATACTTACTTCAAACATGCATTGTAGTAACCATGGCAACTCTGGCAGGAGCAAGGCCTGGGTTTGTGCATTTCAACTGTGAGAATCTGTGTGTGTGAGTTTGAATGTGTGTGTGGGAGGATATAGCCACAAAACTAACAACAGACACTCTATTATTACTTCATCAGTAGTGTGTAAGTGTGTGGTAGTTCGCATAGCCCAGAGTTATGCAATAACCCTGCAATAACTTTGCAGGTGACCGTGATTTTGCCAAGAAAGAACAACATTCTCATCGACAATCAGATTTTAGGGTAAGGATCTGTCTTAGGGGCATAAACAACACAGCACTTCCCTCTGATTGCAGGGACAGTTCATTTCTGTTGCATGCTGCAAAGCATCCTGCTAGCAACACCGAGGTCATGGGTTTGACTCCCAGGGAATGCATGAACTGATCAAATATATGGCTTAAATGCAATGCAATATGCATTGGAAGAAAGCATTTGCCAAATGCATTAAATAGAATTGTAGTTAATGCATTTAGGATTTAAGAGAATCACAGTTGAACATATAAATTACATTTAAGCAATATATTAAGCTGTGGCTCTTATAATCTACAAACTTTGTTAATAATACTTGCATTTTTCTTGGCAACATTTTGTTTTAAATTTAAAAAAATAAAATAAAATAAAATAAAACAAATGTCAAATGTGTAGTCATTTTCCTTAGTGAAAAATCCAGCAACTTAATAAATAATAAAACAAAAATAAATAAGTTGCTTAGGATGAAAGCATCTGCCTAATGCATTAAATATATGTGTTGTTAATACATTGTGCACTTGTGAGACTCACTGTTGAACATATATGAACTACATTTAAGCAATATATTTAGCTGTGGAACTTATTTATAAACTACAATCTTTGTAAAATATACTCACATTTTTCTTTGGTGGAAATCCCCTTAATTATAAAATAGGATAAAATAAAGATTCTGGAACATGTGAAAAAATCCAGCAATTTAATAAATATAATTATAATAATTATAATTACTTTAATAAAATAAAATAAAATAAAATAGTTGCTTTGTATAAAAGCATCTGCTAATGCATTAAATGTAAGTGTAGTTAATGCATTTTGCACTTGTCAGACTCACTGTTGAACATATATGAACTACATTTAAGCAATATATTATATAAGCTATATATATATTATATATATATTATATTATATATAGCAATATATTATAAGCTACAAACTTTAATAATACTCACATTTTGGTGAAAAATACACTTAATAAAATCAAATGAAATAAAAATATTCACAGAGCATGTTAAATGTGCAGTCATTTTCCTTTAATCCAGAATTTAATAAATAACATATATTAAAAAAAAAATTTAATAATAATAATTCTAAAAAACCAACAGAACAGACACTAATTTAACTAGACAGGTAAGACAGCGAGAACGTCTGATGCATATATAAAGAGTTGCAAAAAAGCATAGAGTGAATGCAAAAAAACTTATATTTACAGTACTTTACAGTTAGGTATGAATCTGCATAGTCAACCATCCTAAATCAGTCTATACTGTAAGACGCTTTGGATAAAAGGGTCTGCTAAATGACTGTCTTACTATGCTGTTCCATCATCCAGTAACACAGCAAACACAGGTCAATGAAGGGTTCAGATTGTGTGGGAGTTGCAGATAAAAGTGAGGATAGTTTGCATGGATATTGAATAGACTACCTCTTTGGGTTTCGAGGTTTTGCTGTGGTTCTAATAAATCTACCGGTGGACTCATTCAACTGCTAATCGATTGAGTGGGTGTAGGAATGCACAAATGTGTGCGTGTGGAAAGGCTGCACAGAAAACACTTCAATCTGCTTAGTCATCACAATTCCTTGTGACAAATAACCCTGTCATTTAGTTAATGCTCCTGAAGTTTTCTCCTCTGACAAACACAGTCATTACTGTCTCGATCGGCTATGATCATTACACTCGCTCCTTTATTCATTCTTGCAGCATTTCTTTTCCTCGTGTTTGAGACTAGATTTGCCCTGCTGAGAGAAATCTCTCACTGATCATTACATACAGTACAGTGCATCAAAAACTGGTTCCCTAGCAACCCATGCCTTTAAGAGCTCTTCTGTCTGACTGCAGTAGCCCCGCCCACAATAAACAAACAAAACCAGCAGTCAGCACATTCCCTATAACTCAACTATAATACCACATACTCAATATTACACCATTTGCGTGTAACTGACTTAACAGTAAGATGTTATTCTTGAGAGACACACATGAATACATATAAACTACATTTAAGCATTATATTAAACTGCAGATCTTGTTTGTAAGTCGCAAACCCTAAGAGTCGCATTTTCATTGTTGGAAAGTAAATTCAAATTCAAATTAAAATAAAAAAATAAAACCCAGAAATGTAACTCTACATTTAAAATAATAATATTATTATTTTAAAGATTTAAAATAATAATAATTAACACAAAAATAATAAATGTAAAATAAAAAAATAAAATAATATGAATACTTGCATTTTCACGGCTGGAAAATCCCGCCCCGCTCTCTCCACCCACTACTTTCTTTCCTGTTTGCCACACACACACACACACACACACACACACACACACACTACTCACAAACCCTGCTGGTCAAACACAACTGTCTAATAATGCTGTTGAGTCACCACTATAAATGTTTCAGAAATGTCACAACATGAACCAGAGACCGCGATATTTGATTATGTATGTAATGAAGTTAACTTTCACTTAACTCTATTTTATGCTGTCACCAGAACCGCATCTGTAAAGCACACACACTGTTGCACTACTGATATGCATTTATTTCATATAAATGATTGTAGATGTGTGATGGATGTTATTTCAGAGCAATATTCATTTTAACTTTAGAGAAAAACTACATTTTGGTTCAATGGTTCTTTGCAATGCTTGGGTTTTTACAGGGATCCTTATATTGGCCACTGGATATTAAAAAGTTCTTCATGGCACATTATACTGTACATTCTTCAGATGAGTCTATTGCTTTTAGGGTTCTTTTAATCACAACTAGAACATCTTAAATCTAATTTTCTCTGTATATCAATCCCTTTGTTCCCTGGGAATGTAAGCTAACTATTATTATTATTATTTATTTTATTATTATTATTAAATAATTAAATACTAATATTTTTGTTATACTTTTCATGCCAATTTTGATTATTAATTATTAATATATTGTTTAATATTACATTTTGATTATCAATAAAAATTATAAAAACTATTATTAACTATTCATACTTATTGTTATAATAATTTTAATAAGAACTTTTTTCATACATATATTTGAAAATAATTTAAGAACAAAAACAATAATAATAAAAATTTATTATAATTGTGATTATTGTTAATAATAAAAATAACTATTATTAACTATTAGTAATTAGTGTTAAAACAACAACAGCAACAACAACAATAATAATAATAATAATTATATATTTTTAAAGATTTATTTTTTGCCATTTTTTGCCTTTATTGTGACAGGACAGATCAGAATTAACAGGAAGTGAAGTGGGAGAGAGAGGAGGGGGGCGGGATCAGGAAAGGTCCTCAAGTCGGGATTCGAACACGGGACGGCACTTTTTGTCAGCGGGCTGCCCACAAGGCTATCGGTTCGACTATTATTATACATTTTTATATTTAATAAATTAATTAAATAATTAACAATGCTCCTGGTCTTACGATGCACTTCCATTAAAATGTAATGTAAACTTTTTTATTTTCACCCATAACCCATTTATGTTAACCTATAACCAAAACTACTTAAACTCGACTGTAATACAATTGCATTCAAGTCTTGCTCCATTCCGATTAGTCAGTTTTCACAAGCCAAGCAATGCTCAAATTCAACTATTTTTTGAAAATCCTGTTTTACTTGGAAATACATCACATTACAAAAGTCAAATGTGTTGCAAACAGTGTTTCATGTTGACTTTAAGTGTGTAATGCAACCCAGTATTGTGAAAGAAGCATCAACTCTGACAGTAAGAGCAAACCGAGGCCATGAACTCCATGTAAGCCACGTCTTACCTTTTGCTCCCCGCAAGACGAAGCCGAATCCCTCATTCTCTTTCTTCTGGAGCACAGCGTTCTTCTCCTCGATGATGTAATCACTGGGCATAAGAGAGAGCAGGACAGTGAGGTCAGACTCCAGCACCATGCCTGTATCAGGACCACCACGGCCGGACCACCTGGACGTACCCCCACACACCGCTACTCTCCCTGATCCCCGTCCCGCTCCGCTGATGAGCCAATCAGGTTAAAAGCTGAAGCTGTGAGAGTGTGGACGCTATGAAAAAGCTCAGGTGGAAGCTCCTGTCCTTCTGTTTGACTCCAGTGCAGCCTCTTTAACTGCATTAGGAGATTGGACAAAATGCTAATATCCAGCCTCTTATGCTATTAAATGAAAGGACAGAAAAATGAGGGCCTTCAACTCTTTCCCCGTCCAACTCCAAATGCACTAGAGAGACAAAAACATCCTTTAAAAGCCAGAAATGTACAAAGACAATGTCAACCCTGCATCCATGCCTTAAAGTGCAGCCCATCAGTGATAAAAAGATGGGACGAGTGCTCACAAAAGAGAGAGCGAGTCAGAGACACACAAAGGATCTTTTTCTATGGTGGTCTCTTCCCCTTAACACACACAAACACGGTCCATCTGTCTGGATGCATGGAGATAGTTATCATCAGCGCGAACAGCAGGGACAAATCTGTTCTTCCTTACTCATGTGAGCCACAGTTACCCGCCTGTAGACACCATCAGCCCCCCGCCAACACACACATACAAACAGCGCTCTAGACATACAAATATCACTTCACTAACCTCACTGTTATGATTAACTGTGCTGTTCTGCATTTGCATGACTTGCATGACATTTGGCAGATGCTTCTATCTAAAAAAACTAATGGGCTTTGCATGCTTAAGGCAAGACACTACAGGTGAAAAGGCTACAAATTGTAATGAACAGCCATCGCTGTACTTTCCACAGTTGATTAATCACAGTACATTAATATAACTGTTTATTACAAGTTTTCTGAAATGTTATGTTTGAATTTGCAAATGAGGCATTATGCAATTTAATATGCTAATTGATATACTAATTTGCATACATTTCCAGAACAGAAATCTGAACACTGGATATTTCGTTCATTTTGTTGACATACTAGAGTTAATGGTTTTTACCGAGGGGTTTTTTGGATATCTCACTCCAAAAATCTGAAAATATTTTCAGGAGAAAACTAATTTTTAACATGTTTTAAGGAATAAAATGTTACATAAATCAGGTGAGTGATATATAAACAACCGCCTCTGTAAAAACCTTTAGAATATAGACTGTATATATAAACTGTAAGGTTTGCTGTTTGTAAGTGCTACTGAAGTGGAGTGCATGAAAAAAAAAACTAATTTTGAGAAAAACGCCTTTAAAGATATGCATTGTAAATTAAATCTACAGATGCAAACAGATAAAGTGTAATGTGTACTTTAGATGTTTTCTTTGCAGAAGACAAGTTATAGCCTGAAATCTCAAAATTGACCAGTGTTTGAAAAACACCAGTTATGCTTGTAGTGTCATGCATTAAAAATATTCTGTGTTAGATACACTCTATCTATTTTCTAAATGCATTTTATTTATCATATTGTAAACGATTTGTTCATGCATGTGCTTTAATTTGAGAAATAAACGTATATTTGCTTTAATAAACGTCATAACTGGATCTTCCAGTGACTCTCTGGTGACTTGCGCCGGATATTGGAAACCAAAAATACTGGAGACCATTGACTTCCACTTTATAGAATAAAAAAAACACTTAGCCATTTCTCAAAATATCTTCTTTTAGGTTTCACTGAAAAAAGTCATACAGGTTTGAAATGACATAAGGGCGAGGGCGAGTAGTGATGACAGAATTTTAATTTTTTAACCTCCCATTTAAGCATTCTTAAACGTATACAAAAATTATAGCATCTCATCTGATGCGTCAGTTTTAACTCCCCTTCAGATGTTTAAACTAAAAAACTCATGGATGTTTCTGCTACTGTACCAAGCATGAATATTAAATGGCGTCATTATAAATTAGTCTATGATTGGCTATCTGTTGCTAAACAACTTGCTGTAATATGCAAGCACCGTATTGATTCACACTGCATGCCTTCAGCACCAGCAGAGGGTGTAAAAAGACATTAATCCAAAGTTAATCATAGTGTGAAAAGCAATTTACAGTGATTTCATGATATAGATCAGTTTGTGTCTTCCCTGGGAATCAAACCCATGACCTTGGCATTGCTGGTGCCACGCTCTGCCAGTCAAGCTAAAGAAAAAGATATTCATTTTATTACAGCAAAATATATATCTCTTAACACAGCACCTAACTTTTATAACAACTCCCATACCATCTAAAAATCTGTTTTACAAACAGAGCATAATAAAGTCCTTGTGAACAGCTGCTTGTGTGCTGATTGCAGAATAATTACCACAAAACGACTAAAAGCTGTCTATGTGATCACATGAGACCAGAGCAACGACTGGTGTCTGCATCATCAACTATTAGAAGAAAGCTCATCTCTCTCTCTCTCTCGTACCCCGAGGGTCTTCATCACTGATGCATTAGGAGTGACAAGAATCTAATTAAGCAGTGGAGAATCAATTAGATCAATTACAGATGATTCGGTGTTGTTAGCGCCTCGGGTTAACGAAACGCTCTGTCCTACAGAACAGCAGTCACGCCTGTGATAATATCAGTGTATGGTCGGGCGTCTGGAACTGGCATTTGCTGTGGTTTTGTTTACTAACAAAATCCCAGACAGGCCACATTAAACTGAGACAGTGGAATATTTGGGTTGCATTTCGCATTAGCTATTTAATAAATGCAAAAGCGAACACTTAGAAAAAGTAACAAACATCAAAAGCTTAATATGATATCTCGTCCCTTACAATATCATAGTAAAACCATGGCAATACCATAGTAAAAATAACTGGAATTTTTTAAATATATATATATATATATATATTTTTTTTTTTAAATTATGGTATATAAGTATGTGTACATTGTCTAGGTTGATTTATGCCTTATGTAATATTTCTGTTATATAATTGCATTAACCATTTCAAATATTTGTTATAAGCTTACAAAAGCCCTCACAGTCAAGTTCAGCTAATCTAGCACCTAATGATAATTTGATGAGATAATGAAGTGTGAAAATTAATATAAAGGCCATTAGACCTCAGGAAGAAGGTTTAGTGTAGCGCTGACTTCTTGTCAATGTAGTACACACAACTCCTTAAAATGATCTCCTGAGCCGAGGGGAGCGTGCATGAGCGTGTTAACTCCACTTTGTCTCATGTCAATGAAGCTACACCTCTATGGAGCTTATAATATGACAAAACAAATTGAATTTGTATTGTGTAAATTAGAATTATTGACAAGTGTCATTTAACAAAACTGAATATTATGTGGCATTTAACATAGTTCTGAATTTGATTTTTTTGAACTTGAATTTTAAATATTTCAGCCAGTTAATGTGTGCTTTCTGTCTGTGTTCTAGCTTTTCAACGCTAGGTCAACGTGTGCTAACTGTTGACGTTCAGTTTAGCGCAATTAACAGTGTATTATATTAACAGTTATACTAAATCTAATTAGTGATTAAAATATTTCCTAGAACACTTACAACATCAGTCTTTTAGTATGGATTGGACATGGGAAAGTATGAGCTAAAAGAAGTTCATGAATGCTAATATTTACAGTTTAAATTGAGTAGCGGTCTTGTCATATTAGCAGAACATTGTTTGGCACATTTACATGCTAATATTTACATTGATTAGCCTAACAGACTAAGCGGAACATAGTTTGGCATGCTTACATGCTAACAGTCGAAATCTATTAATATAGCTGAATGTAGTTCGGCACGGACATACTAATATTTACAAAATTAATTAGATTTAATATCAAATCTGTAGATTTAACACATCAGCTGAACGAAGTTCACATGCTACAGCTTAACCCAATTAGCAGACCTCTCATATTAGCTGAATACAGTTTGGCGTACACTGTAAAAAAATCCAATTAACAAATTGTTGGAAGGGCAAAAATATTTAAGTTGAGCTAATTTTATTGCTTGGGCTTAGTTGAGAGGACATATTATATTAAGTCTACACAAATACATTTGAAAAACATTGAATGAACGGTTATTTTCAAATCCAGTCAACAATTAGCTATGCTAATGTTGACTAAACTAATAAAAACGAATCCAGCAAACACTGAGATCATTCTGCACGTGCATGAGCCTGAGTGACTTCGCGGGAGAAACAGCGCCATCTTGTCAAGTTCACGAGTCAGGTAAGTGCCACTAAATAAATGTTATTTTTTAGACAAAATTTATCGACAAAAACATACAGCATATCTGATGTTTTTTAGTGGATATTTAGAAGTGTTTTATAAGTCGTGTGTCCGAAGAAAAATTTATATTTAGGCTATGTTAAATGTATGTCAAGTTCACGCGTCAGGTAGGTGGAACTGAATTTGTAAGTTACTTAGACTGAATTTATCAATACTTGTATATTAAAAAAGGTGTAACCGTATAATTATTTAAAACATATGTATTTATACACAAACGTACAACATAAATAAAAACATCGAATAAGCGTTGTATGAATATGTCTGAGAGAAATTAGTTGTTTAAGTGAAGGGACCCTTACGAAAAAGAAGTTTATTCAAGTGTGCTATTAGTATACTTCTTTTAAACTAAAAATAGGAGAGTATACTTTTAGTCTACTTTTTATGTACTTCTCAGAAATGGGCTTTATGTACTTCTCAGGAATATACTTAAAATGACATTTAAGTATACTTGACTTATACTTTCACTTTACTTATGACTTATACTTTAAATTCTAAATATATTTGAGCTATACTTGTGTTCCTAGAATCCGTGTTTTCATTTTAGGTTTAATTTTTGGCGTGTTGTATGATATTTTTGTGTTTCCGTGACGTTAAAAGATATGAAGAGATTGCTCGGTCTCTCTCTTTTATAAGCCAATGCTTGCTACGACGAAATGTGTCATGTAAACACAGTAATACACTTATCTGAAGTTAACATGGGCATTGTTGAATGGGTTTTTGC